TAAGTTTATTATACAATTGGTTTTATGTTTACCCGTGTAATGATTTGGTTTTGTGCTAAACACATACACAGGGCATTCGGATCCTGGAGTACTAAAAGAAAGATCAGAAGTCGCTCAACGCATGTCTCCGGAGGAACTAAACAAACGCCAGACTGAACTGAAGGTGCGGTTAACGAGCTTGTGATTCTTCCTTTGTGCTTTAATGTTTTTGATAACACCCCCAACTTGCACTGGCATAGGTACATGGTAACTCTGTCCACCAAGGCCTACACAAATGAAAAGAACCAATACCCTTTCTTACCTAACATCTACATGTATAAAGTATTGAAAATAATAGGGAAACTTGAGAAATGAAGTATTGAAGGTAGTGTATTGCTGCAAACAGCTGGGTATAGGATTTGGCAAAATGACGGTGTAACTTGTTAGGAAAATGAATAAATGAAGCTTTCAAGTAAAGTTGGTTGGAGCTTCAGAAACAGAATATGCCTCAACTTATCGTTATGCCTCAATTTTTGAGCTAATATTTTAGTATTCAACTTCACTCTGTTGAACATATTCTACTTCTTAATATTCAACTTCACTCTGTGTAACATAGCACGAATGTGCAACTCTAGAAAGCTTGCATGTCCAGCTCCTATTAGATTCACGAGACCATTGTTAGCCTTCTCCTAGTGTAAGAAGGAAATAGTTCTTGGAAGATAAAATAGAAACTTTATTATGAATACATATCTTAAAACTTGGCCTTTGACTAGGCTGATCTCAATAGTCTTCGCATGAAACGCTTGCTTATGAACATGTGGTCTAAAGTAGGAAATAGGGAGGGCTTCGGATGAAGCTTTTGGTTCTAGCTAAATTGTAAAGAATTAGAAGAAGATAAATTCAAAATTGTAGATGTAGTGAAGTGTGTGTACGGTTATTTTGGTGAATCTGTTTGATTTTCTTCTTCTATATAAAATGTCCATTGCACTGTTCATGATCCATGTCAGCCTATGATCACTCAATTTTATTTGTCATTGATACATCACATAAGAAGCCACCAATGCTGACCATCATTTATTTAAATGTTGAAACAAATCCATTACGATGTAAGAAAATGCTTATACATGTAGGGAAAATCCAAGCTCATAGTGTTATATTTAGAACCCAATTAAGGGACTCTAGCATCTAATTTAAGCACGGTTTCTCCTACTATTTGCTTGAATTACCATTTCTTCTCGCATTGCCAGTTTGCATTGGGATAAAGGAGTAGAGGTTTTAAAGTAGTATGAGAAATTATCTTGTTTCTTCCCTGATTCCATCAGTTCATCTAATTACAACCAGGTTTTGGTCTTCAGAATAGAAACTAAAGTAAAATGTAGTTTTGTGCTACTTGTTTGTCTCTAAATTCTACTATGGTTAACATAGTTGACGAAGAATCCAAGAATTTTTTTTCAGACCAATATTTCTGTCCATCTTCCTTGCTTCTTTATAGCTTAGTGGTAGTTTTGGGAGTGGGCACTGATAGGACATAAGTGAGGACATCTCGTCTGTACCTGTGTATCCTTTTTGTTTCACCTTTTTACTTGATTTACTTATCCCCCCAAAAAACGAAAAAAAAAGAAAGAAAAGAAAGAAAAGAAATGAGGAATTATTTAGCCACCTCTTGCAATTGTATATTACGCCAAAGGGTCCTTTTTTTAATATGATTTTTTTCTTCAGTTGGGTTTTCATACATTTATATGTTGTTTCTTCTCCAGGAACTGATGGAGAAGCTAAAAATGCCCTCAGATGCGCAGTTGATGCTGATTGCAGTTAATGATTTAAATAATTCATCCCTACCTCTGGAGCATCATCTCCGTGCCTTAGAGGAGCTGTTGGTACTTGTTGAGCATATTGATAATGCAATTGGTATGTATAGTTCTCAGGACTTTTTTTGTTAGTCTTACAGATGTTTGTTTTTGCCTCTTTTGGTTTTGGTTTTATAACTTCTAACTTAATATCAACATCAACAACACACCCAGTATAGCCCCACAAGTGGGGTCTGGGGAGGGTGAGGTGTACGCAGACCTTACCCTTACCTTTGTGAGGTAGAGAGACATGACACCTGACTTCATATCAACTGTAGTAATTCATTAGCATCTATAATCCCAATAGACACGCTTCCGAGACCTAATAAGACTATAATCAAGTCTTTAGGAGGCTCGAACTAGAAGAGCATACAGCTGACTTCTTAGGAACTATAGCACCCTTTCTTAATCTTGGTTTTATGAAGCTTCTCAATGATGCTTATGTGTAATGTGAGTACTTGTTAATGTTTTCAGGATTCATCAATAGTTTTCCTTTATACAGGCATCAACTGATTTCTCACCATTCCTTCATTTAAAGAAAGCATTGAATGCACATGTATACTTTTCTCAATGCTTACATGTTTTTTATTTTCAGATCTGCAGAAACTTGGAGGCTTCAGCGTACTTGTAAGAATACTTAATCATTCTGTACCAGAAATAAGGACTGCTGCGGCATGGGTTCTTGGCAAAGCTAGTCAAAATAACCCCATTGTTCAGAAGCAGGTATTGGAGCTATGTTTTTATACAAGTTTGGTCTTTAATGCTTTAGTTTCTTTGTCGCTTTCATTTGTGCAGTTTCTGTGTCTATATTCTAAATTTACTGGCTATTGTATTGACGCTGTGCAATGACTTTTGCATTCAGGTCCTGGAACTTGGGGCATTGACAATGCTGATGAAGATGATGAAATCTCACACCACGGAAGAAGCTGTAAAAGCTTTATTTGCTATTTCAGCACTAATAAGAAATAACGTGAATGGCCAAAGTTTGTTTTATCAGGAAGCTGGAGATACGATGCTTCAGGTGATCCAACTGAAGATTGAGTCAAGTTAGAATAGTTTACTGCTGCAGTGTATAACTTCCTTCTCTGTCTTTGTATGCAGGAGGTTCTTAGCAATTCAAATCTGGATATCAGGTTACATAAGAAGTCACTGTTTCTTATTGCTGATTTAGCCGAGAGTCAGCTGGAAAATGAGAACACAGCTGAGGTTTCCTTTTTTAGCAATCGATTGTTACTGAAGGCCATCGTTGATTCAATGGCATCAAGCGATCTTGATCTAACGGAAAAGGTTTGTGTAGTCTTTGGTGTGAATGAACATTAAATTTCAAAAGTATCTTATTTGTCTAAACTTCATATGCATGATCCCTTAGGTTTTCAAATATTAGAAATGATCCTCATCCTCAGCAATTTTGGCTTGACCTTTGTGAAGAGCAAGTGTTGATGGTCTTTTTACATAAAATCCACAGTTGCATCCGTCATCAGTACATCCATATACCTCCAAAGTTTAAGTGTCGCTCTATAGAACTTATCCTTTATCTTAACTAAATCACCTACTTTCATTTTTTGTAAGTGGCTATATCAGTCTGTTGTGCCTCCGGTTTAATGGTGGAGTGTTGGTTAGACAGGAGAAGTAATTGGTAGAGCGATGTCTGTTTAAAAAATTGTTTTCATTGGGACCAAGTCTTTTGGGTTAAATTCTTCTTTAGATCTGCTTGGGTTCGAGTATGGATCAAAGTCCGTTGGGATGATAGAGCAGGGTCACTTCAGAACAAGAAATTCAACCGTGATTTTCTTCATAGGAAAAGTTTTGGTGGTTTATGCAGAAACTAATCAGATGTGAACTTTTGAAGAAACCTGTTAGCTGCATGAGGAGGATATCCTTGGTCGGGATGGGGGCTCATTTTCATCTTTAATGATGGAATATATACTCACTTTTGGTGTAGGGTCCGGAATGGAACAAATATAATTCATCTTTTCATGGTTTGACTTGGTTAGGCAGGTCTTTCGAACAACATATAAAACTTGTTTTATTTGAACTATCCTGCGTATCTTTCATGTCATTTCCGTCCTCAATACATTGAGCACGGCCTCTGTAATACAAAATATTACCTTGCATATGTTGGTGACATCTTTAAAAAGTCTGTTATAGGCTTGACATTGCTTTAACTGCAGGCCCTTTACGCAATTAAAAACATACTACTACTTAGATCGACTGAAGTTCAACTCTTCAAGGACTTCTGTAAATTGAACGAGGTACTTGAGAGGACGAGGCAACAGTTAAATGATCATAGAGAAGAATACGCAATGGATGTGGAGAGTCTTCGGAAAGAAGTTAACCTGACCTTCCTTCAAAAGCTGAATAAGGTGAGGGAAACATTAGTATAGATTTCTTTTCATTTGAAGTTGAAGTTGAACTTGGATCCTTTGCTAAAACTCGAAATGACAGGTTACACAAGCTGCATTATGATGACAGTTTCTGGCTTGATCCGGTTTTTGAACATTATACTGCTTGCATTCTTCTCTGTTAGAAAGGCGCGGAAGTAGCCAAGTGGATCGATATCTTCATCATCCCATGCCATTTGTTCATCTGGACATGGACTCGAAATTGGTACATCATCATCTGCTTAAGACAACCCTGATGTGAAATGGATAACATTATGAGCTGACGACGACTTGTGCTGATTTTATACTACTATTTAAGTTATAGCCAATTTTCTCGAATATTTAACTTTTAATCAATCTTGCAAAATTGATAGCAATGTAATGTATGTGATGAGAAAATCAATTTTGTGGCAAGACCAATTTTTTCTGCTTCTACAGAATTTGTATCAACCTTTAAGAGAATATTCAATTTTCGACGAAATTACTTATCTATATGATTATATTTTGTATGCCTATTTTATATTGGCGATTAAAGCTTGTCAACCATAATACAGTTTTACCAACATTGGTTGTGGTGTACTTTCACCCATAACCGGAGGTCTCGGGTTCGAGTCTTGAGTATGGTGAAAATTTTGTTGGGAGTGTCACCCCCGAATAGGCCCATGCAATGCGCGATTCAAATTTAGTTGGAGCTCCAATTGGGCTTTGGACACAGAAACCCAAAAAAAAAAAAACATAAAACAGTTTCATATATGAGCTAACGGATGATAAATTAAAAAAATCATAAAAATATTTCATATATGAGTTACGCTTTGCAAAATGTAACTTCAAACTTGAATGTCTAAATTTGAACGTCATTCAAGTTGAATTTCAAAATTCCAAAAACATTTGAAATATTGTATATGTTGTTGGGTTTACAAACCTCCAAAACAACCACCAAATTGAATTTCTTCAAAAACACTTGCAGAAATGGCTTCCAAATCTCTAAAACCTCCAAAACAACCACCAAAAAACCCTAAAAAACAATGGTCCCTCAACGATTTCGAGATCGGAAAACCCCTCGGAAAAGGCAAATTCGGCCGTGTATACCTCGCCCGCGAAGTTAAGGTAGTTTGAATCAGTAGATATATGTATATTTTTCTACATTCTCGTTGTTTCCCGACATGCGCATTAGATTCAGGACCTAATATGAGTTCGGTCGAATCTAATAGTTTTTGCACAAACAATGTAAATATGTGCTAGTATCAGATGTAGATTCCAGAAAGTTGAAATTTTAGTTTTGTTTGTGATTGGATTATTTATTAGAAAAAATCCAGAAAGATGAACTTGAATTTTTACAGAGTGGATTTATAGTGGCGTTGAAGGTGATATTCAAGGAGCAAATAGAGAAATACAGGTTGCATCATCAGCTTAAGAGGGAAATGGAGATTCAAACAAGTCTTCGTCATCCCAATGTACTGAGGCTATATGGTTGGTTTCACGATGAGGAGCGGATTTACTTGATTTTGGAGTATGCTCATGGCGGTGAGCTGTATAGGGAGCTAAGGAAGACCGGTCGCCTGTCTGAGAAACAAGCTGCCATAGTATGTCACATCCTATTGCTTGCTCTCCTCATATAAGTTTTGAAACAAGAGCATATAGTTCATCTGCAGTATTCTGATTTGTTTATGTAATTTGTTATAAGCATATATTCATTGATTCTAGTGTTAGAGAGCTCCATATTATTGAATATTTGAATGAAATGGGTACAAATGAAGCGAAATGGATGTGAGATTCTCATTGCCTACTCAACTAGCTTGGGATTGAGGCGTAGTTTTGTTGTTTAGTTGTGAGCTTGTAAATTGTTTCAACTGATCGCCTCTTCCCCCGAACCCAAACAAAGAGGACAGAGATTCAGTTCTTTTGTTATCTATTACTATATGCATGTAAGGTATGGTCTTTCAAGTAGTTTACTTAAAAGATGGTGCAATTTTGGGTTGCATTTGTATCAGTTGGTGTTTTTTCATTTCCTTAGTTTCTTGTTTATGTATTTCTTCTGTGCTTAATGTTGAACAATGAATAATGTTATCGTTACTATTTGTCCTTTTTATGACTCTAGAGTTTATCTGAAAATTGTTTATGGAATAGTTGAACACATAATTACATTTATGTAGAAAACATTATTTAGTGTTCAACTTCTTTCCTGTTGCTTTAGGTTTGTTCTTTGACTTTTGATACTTCGGTTGTTTCTTTTGTAGTATATTGCAAGTCTCACACAAGCACTGGCGTACTGTCATGAGAAGCATGTTATTCACAGGGACATAAAGCCGGAAAACCTGTTACTTGATCATGAGGTAACACTTGATAACTTGCTGTCTTCCTTTGCCACGTCTGCTAAGTTTTATTAGCACCATTTCCTAAAAAGAAGAAAACACACACACTATATATATGGCTAATTTGGAAGGTTCATAACACTATACTCGAAGGTTCACGTTGCTTTGAAATTCAGCTTTCCTCTTTAGTCCCGACTCTCCTGAGGGTCGAACCTTGAGAGATCATTGACCTAACCAGATATAGGTAATACCCTTCATATATATCTTTCCTGTAAAATTCAATCAGCTTCTGTTTTTTTTCACGGAAAAGGAAAAAGCAGTAGAGCTTCTTGGAGTGTTGACACTTTTAGTTGGTGCAAAGCTTTGACACCGTAGTTGCCTAGGCGACTTTAACTGCTGCTTGCTGATCGAATCAGCCTATTGAACAACCTTCAAAAAGCTCTTCTCTGATCAGTCTTGTTTCCAATATGTCATTGCCTATCTTTTGTTGTTGCATTTTCTGTTAATTTACAAAGGCTGGAAATGCTGCTTTGTAATCTTTCTACTGTTGTATAGAATTCTTTCGATTTCACCTCATGTCGCTGTATAATCAGGCTCAAGTAAAATAGCGACCCTCTGATTCTTTATTAATTTTGGCTAAAGTTGTGAATGTGAGACATTAAGTTCAACATATGATTCGTCATTCTGATGATCACCAGAGCTTGCACCATCTATCTCATTTTGTTTCAACGTAAATTAACCTGGTCAAGAAAAAAATGTCTAAATTGTAAAATTCACTACCTTCAAAAGATAGCTAGTATATTTAAAATAATTTGCACGTCTTTCAACCATTATTTCATAGGATAATGACAATCGAGATCAAGGGAGTATATCTGTAGATGTATCCTAATAAAACCATATATAACAGCTTAGGATGGTCCGATTAAGATAATGTATGTAATGTTAGCGCTTAGGTCTTTTATGGGCGTCCCAATTAGAGCTGGATTTGATTGTCCAGCAACTGCAGCTAAAACCAACCAGGGAATTGTTGACGTGCTGCATCGTTAGAGTAAAATGTTAATTAGATTATCACATGAAATGCAGGGTCGCTTAAAGATTGCAGACTTTGGGTGGTCTGTACAATCTAGAAGCAAGAGACATACAATGTGCGGAACTCTGGACTATCTGGCACCAGAAATGGTGGAGAACAAAGCTCATGATTATGCAGTTGACAATTGGACCCTGGGGATCCTTTGCTATGAATTTTTATATGGTGTTCCTCCATTTGAGGCCGAGAGACAGACTGACACATTCAGAAGGTAACAATTCTTCTGCTTCTTTTCATCTTGTATAACTGTTGGAAAATCAAGATGTACTACTAACTGAAGAATATTATAGAATTATGAAGGTAGACCTCAGCTTCCCTTCAACACCTGATGTATCTGCTGAAGCTAAGGATCTCATTAGCCAGGTATATTGATTAGTCCTTGTCTATGCTTAAAAAATGGCATGCAATAGTTGCACAACATTGACACAACTACATGAGACTTGAGGGTGGTTAGTTGAACACCCTTCGTATAATACTGTGTATGGCCACTGACTGCACCCCTTTCTGATGGCTTACCTTTGCAGCTTCTTGTGAAGGACTCTTCTAAAAGGCTCTCTCTTCAAAAGATCATGGAGCACCCTTGGGTAATTAAGAATGTCACATCACATGACACTATAATCTGAGTCTCCTCACCAATTTGCATCGGTTAGTTAAAGCCCTGTTTGTTGTTTCAACTCTTTTTCCTATGACATAATATGAGATGCAATCATCTTGATTTCAATAGTTTGTATCAGATGGAAGTGACATTGATATAGTTTCCTATAAATATTTGTGTATCATTTATATTAAGGTTGTCTGTTTCTTCCAGCTAGTCATGTAGCCTTTAGAGCCATGTGTGGAAACTCTAGGTCTAACTTGGAGAATGGGCTTTCTAATTTCTAGTCAAAATAAGCAATTGTATTTCAACTAGGGACTTTTAAAGAACATCAATTTGGTTATTTACCTTGAGTTCTTGAGCACAAGGCCTGGCCGGGTACATCGGAAGCTTCAGCTGGAGGATCATTGGATCGGAGGTTACCATTTATTTCATTCCATAACCAAGTGTGAGCACACATCAAACCTTCCAAAGTAGTGGAGTCTACTGCAATGTGGACTAATCAACCTCCCACTAGTGCTAAATATCAGATTCAGAAGCAACAATAGACACAGGAATGACTAAGAGGTCACGAGCCATCTATTGTAAAGTAGGAAATTTCAATCCATTTGTCTTCCACCAACTTAAAAATTGTCAAATGATGGAGTTTGAGGCAACAAACTTTCTTCTAAATACATATCCAATTCTGATCGTTTCCTTGCATTTGCACTACTCGAAGCAACAAATCTATCGAGACTTGATAGTCGATCACCCTCCGAAAGACCATGGCTTCATTTGAACTAGATGCTTCAACAAACTCATGTGGAGCAAATATTCTACTCTTGTACTCCTGAAATAGATCATAACAATGAGTTCTGACATTTTGAATTTTAGTTGAAGCGTCTTCACCATAAATTAGTGGAAGATAGAATTTCACTAATTTCATTTTATATCTCTGATCGAAAATAACAGTTACTCCCATGAATATATGCATATCATCCCAACATTTCTTAAATTTTAACAACATTGCCGCTGCCATCAGTTCTGAAATACCTCTTTGTATTCTATCGTTGTTCTCAACATTAGAAATGTTGAGTTCCAACGAGTTGGACAATCATACTCCAACTTTTTGGTACAAGAAATATGTTAGGAGACTAATACAAACTTCCTTTTGACACCATTTTGAATAAAGGTTGGAGACTAGATACAAACTTCCTAAATCCCACATGATCAACAATTGATAGTGGATATGTAGTTTGTTCTTCTCAAGCTGTTGTACTGTCCTATGAATGATGAATCCTCACACTCGTTCTTTTTGCTGAATTTGCTCTTCCCTGTTCGTGGTCTGAAAATAAAGAAAGGTCTTTCAAATCAAAACTCGATTTTGGTTCATTATCAAATTCATTGATTAAAGTTAAGAACTCGTCAATTTGCAAAATAAAATTAGGATTTGACCGAAAAAGAAGCAGGGCTTTGGATACCATAGCCAATCACCATTGATGAAGAAGAATCTTTCTAAATCATTTCATGTCAGCGGGGATGCTCCTTCAAGCATCCGAAATACGCCAAGAATGGAACAGCTATTTTCATATTTGCACAGTAAATCAATGATGAATGAAAACATAGATAGGCACTGAAAAGTACAGCTGATGCATCATACAGGGAATTTTCAAGAAAAATGAGCATCTTGTTCTCATCAAAGTTATCTCACTAGGGAGTGGTGTTTCTTTACAATCTTATACAAGCAACTCTTAAGGATTTTGATAGACTCTGAACCATCCTCCTCTCAGTACAAACATGTAATAGACGTTACGTTGCAAGAAAAGAAGTTACATCTTCAAACTTGAGTATAGAGGGAGCTAGGTCCTACAACATAATCCACATGGAAATTGGTTGTAAATCATCTAATCAGAATCAGCTACTGTTCTGAACTGTCTGTGACTGGCATCTCTCCTCTGTTTCCTGTGTAGGAAGGAACTTACGCAGAGAGCGGTACTGCAATCGAACATTCTCACCACTGTCCATAATCTTGAGTAAATACCTGGAGAAATTGAGAAGATCATTTTAGCGATCCTTAAACAAGGAGAACCGCACTTCACTGTCAGTAAAGGAGAATATTCCAGCAACTTTTGAACGCGAGACATTTGTCAGAAAATGTTATTGTCTCAGCCGTGACTGCAATCTGCTTATTAGGACTTAAATGGTAACAGCTAGAAGTATCACACGTGCAGCAAACCAGCCTCATATATCGTAAAAGGAGCCAAATAGTTGTTTAGCATATCACTGTGGCACCACATAGTTGTTTAAAACATACTATAAGGGAAAGACATTAATCTCTTATGACACTGAAGGAATGAGAGGAATTTCCAGGAACTGCATCATCGCTAGCAACTGAAATACGATTCTTTTCAACATGATGGAATATGACATACGTCATAATTAAACAAAACAAAAAAAGATTCATTTTTTCATAGTGGACTAAAAACTCCTAGTGACAGAATTTCATTGAAGTTTTTAGAGGATAACTGAACACAGGAATCACTTTTCTTCAATTGTTGCTTACATATTTCAGTTGAACACCAACACACATCTTCATGAAATGAGGTATATCTATTTCTTATACTATTAAAGATGTGAATTGGACTAAATTGTGTGAGAAAATAGCTGTATGGAAATTAGGTGGTAAACTATGACATGAACATGGCATTGATAGACTTACAATGACCCACAGAAAACGACTACATTGCAGAACCAAAGCCTACTCAATTGATATCAAATGATGGCTTAAGTTTTGAGCTGTCAAATTCGTTACTTCTCTAAATTGGATGGTCTTGCGCGTGTATCACTAAGATTTCAGTAATTTACGCTAAACACTCACTGCACAGCATATTCCATGCAATACATGTTAATGATCTAAATTGACATTCAAACTACAGTAGATAAGCAAAATATTAATGAAATGCTCAGGCAACTAACCAGCCATTAAGACACTGTGATGTGATTACAGCTTCCTTTCCAACAAATTTATCTGGTGTCCTCCGATTTCCCTGCACAGTTCCGTATTCACATTACTGTAATTTGGTGAATTCTTTTCTATAGATTCCAAGAATTTAGAATGCACAGGCGCAAAGATCTCACCCTAATAAGAACTTTCTCATTCACTGAGAATGGATACTGAACACCTTTATGGGGTCCATTTTCAGAAGGAAGCTCACCATTTTCCTGGAAGGATTAAAGTAATGAGTATTTTCAAAGAATCATTCACAGATAATATTCAACAAAGATAATTTCAAATTTCAAACATTTATAGGTCAATGAAGCAAGAAATTTGTGATTTGCTCTAAATCTAAAACAGAGCCTAAATATGGATGAACATAGATATCACTAAATCCAAACGTTTTCCGAGGCCAGAAAAGGATAGCAAAAACTGGATAAGCCTTTGCTTTCCCAAAACCAACTATGCAATCTGCCAAATCTACCAAAGGGAAGTCCTTCAACAAGGTTTTGACTTCACTGTCAAAAGAAAAATATACAAATGAGAAAAGAACATAAACCATTATACCATGTTAAGGTACATAATCAACATTATCATTTTCACTAGGTAATTTCCAAATATAAATCCTGTGCAGTTCAGATCTAACAAATCCTTCAAAACCCTTTCCGCATCGAGTGTCAATCCGACGCGATTTGGATGTGGGTGTCCGATCCATGCTGGGTTCGGTCAAACTAGCTTGCGTACTTTGACTATTCTATAGCCAAGAGCACTTTGCTATTATACGAGATAACTTATAAAAAAATATTACACAAAAAAGATGATTATACAAGTTTTAATTTGATAACTTCAATTAGCTGTCAAATATATACTTATATATGTTGTACATTTTGTTCTTTCTTAAAAACCACCCATAATCCTATCCATATTCCTGAATCCTACGATTTAGGTAATGATAAATCCAACTTTTATATCTGCTACCGTATTGGGTGCCCACACCCATATCCGAGCAACATAGCTTGAGATGGAAAATTATCCAAAAATTGACTAGGACATATTAATCATGTCATCGCATAAAAGTTAAAACCAGATTAAGATAGTTCCTTTTACCAGAAAACTGAAGACAATGAGCTCTACTATGCAGTTTGGATAGACAAGTCTGCAGCAAAATGGGGAAAATCAAAGCTTACCCTAATGTCTCCCACTTCTTTTCGACGCTTTCTAAGAGCTGCATTGTGGAAAAGTCTTCGGTCATCCTCATGCTTCACTGCTGCAGCCGCAGTTCTCAGCACTGAAGATGAAATTCATAGCGTAAACCAGATGGCAGAATTAATGAGAAAAATCATTGAAAATTGAGTAAGAGGTACCAGAAGAGAATTAATTAGAGTGTGTTGGGAAACAGTTTTTTTTAGAAAAAAACATGAAAGTCTGAAGGAGAAGATATGTATATAATGTATAAATAAATGGAGAGAGAGAGAGAGAGAGAGAGAGAGAAATAAATGAACTGGAGCTAACCGTGGTTAGGAATTAAGGAACCACGCTCAATTTCAGCATTGCAGAGGGTACATCTTGCCTGTCATGATGAGATGAACGTGATTATGTTCTTGACTCATTCATCACTAACCCAAGAAATGAAGACAACAACATGAAACCAAAAAGGAAAATGATGTTCAAGCAAGAGTTGTTTCGTTCATGAAGCAATTACGCCAATATCCCACGTATGGTTTGCTCAAAGTCTGTGGTAGCTCATACCAATTTATAATCTTCATATTCTTATGAGAACAGAAAAAATGGCTAGAGAAGAAGACAAAAACTCCTACCATATCAATAACCCTTTTCAGCATGAGACCACCAAAGGAATGTCCGCATGAAACAAACATAGCATCTTCAAGGAATGTGCCACTGCAATGTTTCACATTGTAACAGTAAAGTAATTATATTTTCCAGATGCAAGAAACTATACACTAATAAGCCATGCATATGCTAATATAAATCATGAATGGAGCTAGAAAAAAACAGAGATACAAGCTTGGCGTGGGGAGGGTGGGGGTTAAATAAACAAGAGACTACGACTATCAAGTTCAATTAAGGGGGCTACAAAAATTTCCAGATTAACACTTGACAAGGGAAGTTGAAACTAATATGCTTAGTCCAACATTCTGTGTACTGCAGCACACTGTTGTCATGCCCTATTTAACTAGTTTAAGGGCCAAGGAAGAGTAGGAAATATAGCTTTTCAAGAGCACAATATATTCCTACCTTTCCATAAGAAAACACAGATGCAAGTTCCAAATTCTTTATCCACTTCTTGATTCTATTCTGGTTAAGTCTCAGCACGGGAATTGATGTGTTTCTTTTAATGCTTTAGTTGCTTTTAATGCTTGAGTTCCACTCAGCCTCAAAATGCGTGAAGCTGCTAAAAATTTGCAAAATAGCACCGCAAATCATCTGAAAGCTTTTTGCAATCTCACAACTGTTATGAGACCCCTCACTTCTGCACATTTTGCAACATGTAATAGCTCTAATCTAAGTGATATACATGCATTTGAAAATAAAGCTCCACGGCTCAAGATGCAGCTTTCAATTGTTTCTTATATTTAGCCAAAGGCCTCTTTTTGGCTCTATTGATATTCAATGTTTTTCAGATCGGAGGGAACTCACAACAACTCAACTAACAGTGGTAGAGGTTTTGACTTCTCTGCTTATTGTTTTTCCTCTTTTGGAGGTTGGGGTGTGAGCCGCATGTAAGTTAGACTTTTGTTATACTTATTTATTAACTCCACATGATTGAGGGTAGCAAAAAGTCTCTGTAAATATTTCCAGCATGAGAAACCAGAGCTAGCTCAGTTCCAAAAGAGTCGCACACGTTTGTTCAATATCTCATATCTTATACGAATACCATGCATAGAGGGCATACCAACTCTTTAGACCTTTCCAGCAGTTTTGTTTGCAAGTATAAGCCATCTATAATGTTATGTCTCTCTTAGTTTTACAGTTGCCTAGCATTTTTTCCTTCAAACATCCCTTATACCAACTCTTTAGACCATTAGAATGACAGAGATATGTTTTTTTTATAAGAGCAGAGATTATGTACTTGTTAGACTCTAAGTCTTTAGTGGAGAACAAGTCCTGTTTTTGTTCTATAACGGTACCCTCTTGATACTGTTCATCACCAAACTTGCTACATTTCATTAAAAAGAAAAAGTTATCTGCATTATTTTGCTAGGAAATTTTTGAAGAAAATATAACCTTGAAAACTTCTGCAAGACCTTTAGTCAAACTAGGCCAGCGTTTCTTAAACTTCTTGCTTTAAATGGAAGTAAGGGATGTCAATTTATTAGATTAAAAGTTTGAGACTAAGAAAGTATAAGATGTTTAATATACTCATGCAGTAAATATGCTGCTATATTTGACCAGAAAAGGAGAAAAGTCGATTTGACAAATTAAAACTTACGATAAGGGATCTGAAAGAACACTTCTGAGTGATGGTTCCTTATTTAGATTGTCTCGGGAGACCTGCAGATCCAGACCAAGAATGAGATGTCTGCTTATGTTGTATTTGGACCAAAATATCCATGGTCCAATTATTGTGGTATCAACCACCAATATAGAAAAGACATACTAACATAAAGTGTTTTTGTTTCCACCACAAGAACAATTTTCACTTTTTGTGCAATTACAAAAGACGTGTTATGTAACGAAGAGTATATCCAACTAAAGGTTCAAAAGTATCAAAAGAGAAGGTAATTCCAGGTCCAGTATGTAAAGAAGCGGACAAGTTCACAATTCCACATTGATATTTCCTTTTTTAAGATTGTCTCGAGTCACATGTTGATCTTGACCTAGAATGAGATGTCTCCTCTTCTCCTAGAATAGCATGTCTATTCATGCTGCATTCAAATGAAGTTATTTATGCTCCAGTTCATGTGGAATTGATCATTCAAGGTAAACAAAGAACGTCCATATTCCAAGGAAAATATTTGTCCAAGTAAAACTACATTGTGGTACGGGAGTTGAATCTCCATGCTCAGCATGCAACAAGAGAGAGTTGAAAGAGAAAAAAACATGAGGTAGGGGACCAAATCCCCCTACGAGGTCTCATGTTTTATGTTAGATGATTAAACATGAAGCATGATTAACACTAGATGCTTCGTTGAAATGAAGTTGAAGATAGTTGTTTCTTTTCTCTTTGGGATGTATCGGGTCGCCTAGCACTGTCAATGAAATTTTTCAGGAATGGAATGGTTACGAGATGTGCGAACTATCGTGGCATTAAATTAATGCGTCATAAGATAAAATTCTTTTGCGAGAAAGAATGAAAGAGTGTAGACTTAGGAATACGACAAGAAACAGAGAACCAATTTGGATTTATGCCTGGTCAATAACGGAGGCTATATTCTTGGTAAGAAGAATGATGAAATTTTATTGCAAAAGGAAGAAAAATCCACATATGGTATTCATTGACCTAGAGAAAGCATATGATAGTGTCCATGAGAAGTCCTTTGGTAGTGATGGAGGAAAAAGGAATTCATAATAATAATATAGATATCATGAAGGACATGTATGAAGGAGTCGTCACTAGCGTGAGAACAGTGGTAGGAGATACAAGAGGTCCCCAAAACGGTATCGGAACCAGATTGTCGAAATGGAAATGTTACCAGGGTGTTATGTGATGGAAGGATGCTTACCAAAGTCAAAGATAGGTTCTACAAATCAATTATAAACCACAATGCTATATGATAGTGAATGTTGGACCGCTAAAGTCCAACATATCCACAAGAGAAGTGTTGCAGAGATGTGGATACTAAGATGGATGTGCAGTCATACAAAATTAGATAAGACTAAAACTGACCACATGTGTCAGAAAGTTCAAGTACCACATAGTGAGGACAAAGTGAGAGAAGGTAGCTTGAGATCGTTGGTCATGTCTTGTGTCGACCTATAGATGCACTTATTTGCAACTGTGAAACTATGCTTGACTAAAAGTGTTAAAATCAGAGGAGATAGACCTAAAATCACATGGAGGAACAATTTCATTATAATTAATGCAGACTTCGCTAAAGATAAGGCACAATGGAGGAAAAATATTCCAATAGGTGATATTTACTAGTTGGGAATAAGTTTTAGTCCCGTTAGAGGACTTCTATTATTATTTTGTTTCAGTCCCGTTAGAGGACTTCTATTATTATTTTATACTTCTTTACATATATTAAATTATTTTCACTTTTACTTTTATTTCGCATGATGATACATGAATTGAGCATAAATGGAATAGTGAGGATTCAGATAGAAGATCTCAACTTGTTTGGGACTGGAGCATAGTAGTAATTGTGAATGGTTACAAGATCAGGAAAGGGATGAAAAAGCTTTGAACGATCATTCTTTAGGTATGTTGGGTTCTACAGAGAGAAAGGAAGCAGAGGTGCACCTGTACAGTAGCTGAAATACAAGCACCTTAGATTCTAGTCCCCTGGTGTAAGTTAATAGACGCATACGATGACCAGAGCTCCATTGGCGTTACTCAATTACAGGAGGAAAATGATTGTATAGGGTGTTTCGAAACTGACTAACACCATCTTAGTGCTGGTTTTGCCATATTAATGAACTATTTTTTGTATTGATCGGTAAAAAGAGTTGATAAGACTTGAGAGAAAAAGGAACATAATTTGATTATGAGGCACTCACACCTAAATTGAAGTTTTTACTCGGCGCAAAACCAAAACAGACCCCATAGCATTAAAACTTTGCAGAAAAAGGCTTTTGCCTGTGCAAAGAGAAACACCATATGACCATCTGAAAAGAAATAGTACTTACATAAGCATTATCAGTATTGCTACAAAGCATGTCTTCCTCGGCTGAAAGGTCATCCATAAACTGGCTTACAGATATTGGCACGTAGCTATGAGGAATAACATGACCAGCAGCTGTAATCGGAGAACAATCCAGTATTGCATTGCTCTGAGGTATAAGCCTAAATGCAAGTGATGTCCTACAAGATGTAGCTGAACAGCTCAGTATTTGAGTAAACTGAATTTTGTAAGCCACTTAAAAGCTCAACAAGCCATGTCTACCTTCCACCACAAGTAGTGCCCACATAATTATCAGCTGAACCCCGGTATACGGCTGCAGGACGAAGACCGGCAGTAGCATGGCTGAGAGCTTTCCCAGTAAGCAATAGTAAATCCCCAGGAGTCAAGCCACTATCTGCTAGATACCAACGACCATTGGGATCACAAACCTAGGGATAAAAAAGAAACAAGCAAGGAAAATGACTGATGGCACAGAGGATCGAGAAAGGAGGCTTTTTTTTATATATATATATATATATATACACATAGAGAGAGAGAGAGAGAGAGGGAGAAGTTGTAACATATTATTTGGAAACTATGCACAATCTGAAACTCAAATGAAAAATCTGAAAGACATCAACAGGAATACCTGAAGACCAGGAGCATCAGATGAAACTAGTGTCAACAGCCCCTTCTCTACTTCACCATTTGTAACTAGCTTCCCTCCTCCAATAGCTCCTTTCCCATTTTGAGAGGTGGTATTGGAGAAGGTTGCAACAACAACAGATGAAGAGGCCTCATTAACGGGCAGTGGATTATCATCAAGCAAGTGATTGAAGACACTACAGAGCACTATGTGTTTGGTCAGAATGCATTTAAGACATAAAGAGGATCTGAATGATATGATCCAGCCATGACAGAAGTTCTTACTCGCTTCGCAATCGAAGATGCCTTGCAATTGCACATAAAGCAGCACGAGCTGCCCTTCCCATGCAGCGGAAAACTTCAGTCATGCATGGGGGAGAAGAGTCCATGTCTTCCAAAGGCCTAGCATATAAAAGCTGATTATCAAATCATTAATCCCATGTGGAAGAGCATCTAACCCTTAAATTTGAGATGTTTGAGACTACTCAAAGGAAACTAGACAGGCTTAACAAGAATGTATTCAAATTCAAATCGAGGTTGTTTCTTTTTTTATCTGTTAAGTAAGTAATTGGTTAATAAAAAAAACTAAGCATTAAGATGGTGCTTGGTATTGCATACAGAGGGAGCCATCTATACAAAAACAAAAAAGAAAGGCCCCCATCACTTTTGATGCCACACCTGTGTCGAATTCTCCAAAAATACACTACTTTTGAAGAATCTGAGACGTAGTTGTTGACATTTTTGAAGAGCCTGAGCAACATAGTTATTGACAAGCACAATGCAAGTTCAGCTGTTGTACACCAAGGAAAAAACTTCTTTTTAGCAAATAGACTTCAAATTATTTACTATTTCTACGCCATTTGCATCAAACAAATCCCTCTTTCTGACCTCTGCAAACTAACCCTGTCGAAAGCAATGCTAGACATGGAAATAAGTTCCCTCACTCCATTAATCATTCACATATTCTGACTCTGATTGTATAAGACTCTTTTTCTGTTCCTACATCTCTATAAGAATCAGACTTCTCAGCTTTATCACAAATAGGTATCAGAAAGTGTCAGAATGGACTTTCTCAGAACAAAACACTAGCATGATCAAGTTTCTTTTACAGTCTAGAGCACAAACAAACATTATGCATCAAGGTAACATACTGAGGAGTGAAGAGTACTGATGACCAACAATCAATTACATTCGTTCACCAATCAATCACCACTCCATCAATTAGGCCTCAAACCCAAAGTAGCCTCCTTTCCTCTCTATTCATATGCACATATATAAACGTTGTAATCAAATAAACTTTTAGATTATTTTTAAGCAACTCTCAACCTGCTGCAACCCACTTTTTCTTGGTTTGGAATTGACTATGCATTGTAGTTAAATTCTTCAGCTAAAAAAAAAAGGGAAAAAGAACAGATTTTGCTTCTACTCCTTACCTTCCAGCTCTGTATATATAAACCCCACGACCACTCTTGCCCAAAGCAGCGCCACCGCCACCATTCTGAGCAACCGCCCTCGTCTTAAAAAAGTACCTAACCGACTCCAACCCACACCGTAACACCGCAGTACCTTCACCACCGAGCTCAATCACCGCAGCGTTATGCCGCATAAGTGATCCTGAAAGTGCTTCCACAGCCCGCAAATAAGGTCCAACCGGAGCTCCATCATAAGGTACAATATCGGAGAGCTTAACCCGTGCTAACGGCAACCCATGTTCCACAGAAGGCGATCCAATTGAAGGAAATTGCTGGGTATTTGAAGTAGATGTGTTGGGGGATCTAAGAACGGAAGCTGAAGAAGGTGGAGGAGGATTGATTGGGTGAGTTGAGGGAGCAGTGGAGTGATGATGCTGATGCTGATGCATCATGACCATAACCATGGATCATTTCCGTATGTATATGTGCTTGATTTTTGCTATATTTGCGTACAAACACTGTGAAAATAGAGAGTTGAATTAGGGTTTATCCTATTGGAGAGATGAATTTTTAGAGAATTTTGCAAATGGGAAAATGGTGAGATTCTTGAAAAAGGAAATTTGAGAGGTTTTTGGCTTTGCAGAAAACTTGAAAATGGGAGTTAAAGCACTGAAAGAGTGGTGAAGAAGACGAAACCGTTCCTCTTTTTGTTCTCTTTTTTCTCCTTACATTTGGCTTATGTCAATATTGAACTTCTATTTTGTTTTATTTTTGTCATCATTCTCAAAACTCAAATTCGAACCATAATTTTTAGACGTGAAACAATTTTATTATATTTTTTAATTTGTGTTTATTTGGATATTTTTTCGTTTTTGTAATTCAAATTCAAGACCTCTCGTCACAATTCTTAGAGACGGTGATGTCACACATCATATGTGTAGGATGGATGAAATTGAGGTTTGAACTACATGTGATAAAGAAGATTTAAAGACAAATATTACAGAGTGGTGGTTAGATTGGCTTATGTTGTATGAAGCGGAGTGTTGGCTGGTCAAGAACTTCCATGTTTAGAAGATGAAAATTGTGAAGATAAGGATGTTGAATTGAATGTACGACATATCAAGAGAAATAAGATTAGGAAAGAAGATATCCCGGATAAGATATTTTTGGCCTCAACAAAAGATAGATGCAAAAAACGAAGTTGAGATAGTTCAATAAAGGAGATATACAAATGCCCCCAATGAGAAAATGTGAGAGGTTGGTTCTTCCTTGGCGTATGAATGCCTCTTTTTTCTTGCTTTGAAATCTAAGAAAAACAAGTGCGATAAGACAGTTCTCTCAAAAACAAGACTCTCTATCTTCACAAAGTAGAAGTAACGTCACCATACATAATGGAATTATTTATTAATGCTTCTCTCTATAACAAACCAATCCTTTGTAAAGAAAATCACATAGATGTATGATCCTTCTTTAAAAAGTTAAAGAGAACATCAAGGAAAAACTAAATTATTTCTTCAGATCAGTCCAGCCCTTTTATAAATTACAATCTGAATCTTTTGCAAACAAGGGTCAAAAAGACAGTCTAAAGGTACAAAACTACAAATGCCATTGTATGGCCATTTTTCAACATAATGTACACTCGAAGACCACTCTGTGACTCCTCATTTCCATACAAAGACTTATTTCTGAAGAATGATTCCTTTGCAATTAGCATAAATAGCAATGAAAACACAAGACACTTCAGATTTTGTCGTTCCGACCCAAAGCAAGATCAATAGAAGTGCTTGAGGCATTTCAGCAATGCCTCGGTGTGCTCGGGCTTGCCTACAGAGACACGGACATATCCCTTCAGCTCCTTGCTGTTGTAGTGACGGATCATCACTCCCATAGTCGCAAGGTCTTCCTGCAACACGAATTTCTACAGTTAAAATGTAGGAGAGACTGGAATGCATTACGTACTGACCAACTGCGCCTTCAAAATCGCAGAACGATATATTCATAAAACAGATGCAATACAAAGAAAGGGTGAGCATGGGGACTATTATAAGCATCACTTCACAACCGTGCCTTAATATAAATGTCAATACTACTATTACTACTACAACCTTATGCATCAAACAACAATTCTTCAATCTCAACCCATTGATCTCCAACTTATTCCACTGTAAAAGACCTCAAAAACGTCACATTCTCAATCGTATGTTAATTCACTGCCTCAGTAGTGATTGGTTATCTCTTGCTTTGCATAATTATCGAGTATCTTGGCAATCGAACAAACTCTCTGTAATTCCATGCACTACCATAACATAAAAGAAACAAGGTAATCTATTAAAATGCTTTTACTTTATTCATGTTCTTTAATACTTCTTTCACCTTGGTATCAAGCTTCTACACAGTAATGTTTAGCCCAGGATGAAAAGACATGAGACCAATTAAATAAATAAATGAATCGGAACAGAAGAAGCGGCAGAATTGACTTTACAAGTACAGAATTTGGTGATATAAGCACGTTTACCTTCAATTTCTTAGCATCCATTCCAGACGTAACCTTACAGAGAATGAAATTAGAATAGCTAGGGTATGGATCAAGAAACGGGACTTCTTTCAAGAGATTAAATAGCCTCTCCCTTTCTTGCACCAGTGCCACTTTCACATTCTGGTATAAATGACACAATAATCAGTAAAACTTCCCAAAGAAAAATAATATTGTTACTTATAAAAGAGATTGGAACATTTGGGCAAAGTTATTCAATAATGCACAGTGGAAATGTTCCATATCCTAAGATACCTCCAGATACGTGGGGTTCTTTAAAGCTGCACAAGCAGCAACTTCAGCAGCAACAGACACATTATATGGTTGCTTTGCTCGCCAAAGGAATTCAATAATACTCCGTGGAAAAGCTCCATATCCTACTCTTAGTCCAGCTAAACCTGAGGATTGGGATTCCACTTAAATTAGTCAACTATACTTAAATCCCAACCACCCATTTATGACAGCACTTGTAAACACTAATTTCGTGAATAGGATACACAGGAGATGATGATGTATCAGCCACAACTGATAAGATCTTGAACTATATCAGCAAAAGAGCAACAAGACGCATACGGTTTTTCCAAGCACACAGATTGCATTCTCTCATAGATAGATGTCAAATGGAAAAGAATGAACCTACCAGCTCTTTTGCTGAACGTGCGAAGAACAATCAGATTTTCATGCTTCTTCACCCACTTCATCTTTGACTCCATTCCAGAAAACTCAACATATGCTTCATCCAATATTACCAATATGGGCAGGTGAAGTATTTTCAAAAGAGTTTCATCATCAATTATACTGTTCAACAACATGATAGATTGTCTCAATAGAATAACAGCATAAGGGAGGTAAGGTATCTATTGAAGTGTGTGACCATCTCATATAAAAGCTTAAGCTGTTAGAAAGATCACACTTTTAATTAGTTAGTGATATTCTCAACACGCCCTCATGTGGGGGGTTGATTCTTTTTCATGGGCCAAGCACGTGGAAATTCTTTTTAATTTGGGTGGCGGTGAGATTCGATCCCAGGACCTTTGCCTGATCTGATACCATTTTGAAGTGTGCTTATGTATAATGCCAAACAAACTCTAAAGAAAAGAAAAGTCAACGCAGTGGACAGTGAGCAAATTTACCGTCTAAATACAATATAAATTTCGATTGTCCTATTCCCTTGGGTGCAGAAATACATGCAAAAATCTTCTTTCAAAAAATAAATATATGCAAAAACATGGAAAGCATATAAAAAATTATCTGCATAAAAATGTTATTTTGATTATTTCAATAAAAAAGAACTAATATTTGATCAATTTATGTCATAATTGCTTATAGCTCTTTTTACACCAATGATGTCATTATTTTTATTATTATTGAGAAGTAATGATATTCTATAAATGGTAAAACAACAGTAAGATGGTGAGTTAAAAATTACAAAGTGTGCAAAGCCCCAACCATAACTAGCATGGAATCTACATCATTTACAATGGCCATGTTGCACCCAAAAAACTAGCAAAGAAATACAATTTTGTTTAAGACCATGTATGTTTCTATGTTTGCCTTCAAAAAATTAGTATGTTTCTTTCCATCCATATTGTCCACCAAACAATGACGGGAATAGTATCGAGACCATCTCATTATTGGTGTTCTCCCCCAATTAAAAAAAAATCACAGTATTACTGGCTAAATTGAAATTCTAGTAATAGTTTCCTATTAGTCATTTTCTCCATCTCACGGACTTAGAAAATAGTGAAAAAAAAAAAAAAAAAGGAAAGGTGCAACTGAAAGCTTTGAAGATGATTAGAGCTTAGACAGGAGGGGTTGGGGGGAGAGAGACTCTCACATGCAGTACAATCAAGGGGAGCAAAGTACAACCACAATGAGAAATAGACCAAGAATACAATGTAGCAATACCTCCCATCAGGATTATTAGGTGATGTCAGAAATATGCACTTCGGTTTCTCAAGTTCAACCACTTCGGCAATCCGTTCTACATCCAGGCTAAAGTCTGGGTTCCTAGGCACTGCCAGTTTGACAGAGCTACAGATAAACGTATTGATAAAAGTTCCAACAATAATTATCGCAATGAAGAAAATTAGAAATTATCAGCTTATTTCATTTTGCTCCATGCTTTAAAGATCACTTTGTCTGAATGTAGAGTCTGCATTTTCATTATACGCACTCCATTTCTCTCTTAAATTTCACAGTTTCACAGTATAGTATTACCAAGCAATACATCATTTATGGGAAAGGTCAGATGATTAAGTAACAACAACAACTAACAAGCTGTAGTGATTCCAATGCAACTACTTGTTATGAAAACTATCAATCCCCCATAAAGCACATATATAATCAGCTTACAATGATGAAAGCTAGGAATCCAACATCCTTTGGGCGAAAATGATTAGATCACAGTAGTTGTTTCAGGAATCAAAAAGAGCTGATACCCAACCATAAATAGATGTCATCAGATAATGACGGTATTTTACTGATCAAAAAAATTAATAAGAATGTCAGAGTGTTTTATCTAATGTAAAACCAAGTTATTACTCGAACTAAGAGACAATAGGATCTTATCTCTTTCTCTCTCTCTTATATTTAGTTCCTTACTTCTTCTGCATACCATTTATTTTTCCAAGATTTCCCATAATATATTCAACCAAAGATGATTTATTGCACCAAACAAGTCCAAGTCCCAAGACTCTTCTAGAAGAGAAAGGATCTAAGACTCAGTATGATAATAATGAGGAACATAATTAAAAATCATACCCTTGATGACACCTGCTCCATTTACAGCTGCATCAAATTCATACATTGTGAAAGTGGGTGGGCAGTCAACAATCTTGTCACCAGGATCCAATACGCATCTGCAGCAGAGAACAGTTAAATATCTGAACTGTAAGTCAAACAAGGACTATATATCTCAACTTGTTGTAAGCATTTAGTTAAACTTTATATAAAAGGATAGTCTAATCATGATATTTACCTCATTATCAAATCAATGAGTTCATCTGCACCGCACCCTGCAAGAATATACTCAGATTCAAGGCCAGAATCTTCAGCAAGAGCTGCACGCAACGTACGGCTTTCAGGATCAGGATAAATATATGGAAATTTCATAGCCCCCAAAGCTTCGTTTACCTGCAAGAACTTCAACAGCTTAAAATTGAGAAGGCGGAAAATAAATACACAGAGATATTTTTCCATTAAACAGTGGGCATTGCAAAAGATACTAACTTGCCTCTGGAGGAGGTCCATAGGGGTTTTCGTTAGCGTCTAACTTAACAATGTCCTCTGGCTTTCTACCAAGACGAGTGGACAACACCTGTATAGGTGCAAGCAATTTTTCAGATGCAACAAGAAAATATCACACCTAACACATAAATATCAATCATGTGGTGGTTATTAACTCATTATATCCCAGAAAAATGAGAAGGAAAACAACAAATATATCAGAATTTCCTCACAACACCTTTCTTTGCATAGCAGACACATGATTCAATCCTTACATTAAATATTTGTTTCCAGAGAGACAGAGGGAGAACTTTACATTTCATGTCTATAAACAAAAGGAGAAAAAAGAAAAAAAAATGATGAAGAAAAAATTTGTAAAAAAGAAACCTCCTAGTAGTCATTTGGACTATCTAGCTAAGCTAAGTAAAGAAGATATGACTAATTCCTGTATGCCTAATGATTCAAGACTCAAAGGGTCTATATTGTATAAAATTTAGCTTACTTCCTCAGAAAATAATTCAAGACCCAAAGTATGATATACTGGAAATTACTGTGCCAAGAAAATACATTTTTCACTAAGTAGACTTAATTACTGCAAATATCACACATTTCAATAGCAAACAGTTGGCAGCACGACTTGTATTCACAAAACCTGCCAAGCTGATAAACCAACAATCACCCACTAAATAGAGGAGAATATCCAATGTCCCTAAGGCTAAATGCAATATAAAGATAACTAGATAGGATGCTTAGAATGGTTCACTGAAACCTTGACAAAATAGTCAATGACAAAGCTCAGATGCCAGATAGAAGCTGCTTCTCCCCACCCTGCACAAATCTAATGTTTCACATTTTTAGTTAGTATCCTTTCAAATTTCACAAGTTTCAATGGTTCCCTTTTAATGAATACCCTCTGCCAAACCAAGAAAGCCAATGATATTCAAATTCCTATATAAGTTCCCCACCCACCCCTAAAGTCCTAGCTGCAGCCCTGAGCATTGCCAGTAGTGAGTTCAAGTTCTCAAAGTCCTCCTTTTGGTTTGATTATTTAACTTGATTCGCTCAACACAATATAAGGTTAACTATACAACAACAGCTAAGCTTCAGTCTCAAACAAATTAGGATCGTCTATATGAATCTTCACTGACCATATTACTTCATATAAACTCATCTCATGGCAATATTATACAAAAATATAGTTTTTTTAAAAAGGTACAAAAAGTTCTTTATACTTTCTTTTTAAAAAAAATGGTAATTGTTTCTATTTCTGTAGAACAGTACATAGGTTGTACTGAAACCCGTATTTACAAAGTTCTTTATACTTTCTACTAACATATAAATCTCTGGAAGGTTGACTATAACCGGTACATTGTCTCCTACAATACAATTAGCAACGACTTTAAGTTCTACGCACTAAGAATATATTTATACAAACAAGTCACTTAAAAGGTGATTGCAGGTACACTATTTTTTTTCTTTGATGACCATGGTGTTTCAGCCAACTTTCGCACACCTCAACTAGTTCCACGGGATACCTGCCACCTCCCACTAGCAACAAGTACCACTATTTTTTTTTATGACCATGGTGCCTGAGTCAGCTGTCGCACACCTCGACTAATTGCACGAAATACCTAACACCTCCCACCAATATCAGGTATCGCTATTGCAGGTAACACTATTTTCTTCTTTTTGATGACCATGATGTTCGAGCCAACTTCTACACACCTTGACTAATTCTAAAGGATACCGGTCACCTCCCTCCAACAACAGGTACTGCTATTGCAGGTAACACTCTTTTTTTCTTTTTGATGACCATGATGTCCGAGCCAACTTTCGTACACCTTGACTAATTGCACGGAATACCTAACACCTCCCGAGGCTATTGCAGGTAACACTATTTTTTCTTTTTGATGACCATGGTGTCCGAGCCAACTTTCACACACTTCGACTAATTCCAAAGAATACATGTCACCTCCCACCAGCCACAGGTACCGCAATTGCAAGTAACACCATTTTTTTTCTTTTTGATGACCATGGTGTCCGAGCCTACTTTTATACACCTTGACTAATTCCAAAGGATACTTGTCACCTCCCACCAGCAACAGGAGCCACTATTGGTTGCATTGATTCATATATAAACTCCTTTCATCTATAAATAAAGTAAAACTAAATGTAATCAACCATACAACAAGAAATAAGAAATGGATCCTACAAATTCACCTCAAATGGCAAAATGGGTTGATAAGGGGACAATTTAAGAAGATGGGTCCTGATAAAAGAACCCCCATTTACACTAGTATATATTTTTTTAATGATCATGGTGTCCAAGCAAGCTTTCGCGCAACTCAACTAATTCAACGGGATACTGCTACCTCTCACCAGTGACAGCTACCAGTATTGCAGGTAACACTATTGATTGCATTGATTCATATATATAACTTATAAACTCCTTTCACCAATAAATAGAGTAAAACTAAATGTAATCAACCATACAACACGAAATAAGAAATGAGTCCCAAATCCCAATACTCACCTCAAATGGCAAAATGGGTTGATAAGGGGACAATTTAAGAAGATGGGTCCGAATAAAAGAACCCCCATTAACACATTGTTTCTGCTGATGACTCTCCTCTTCTTGCACTGACACTGAAGTGGCCATACAAGTAATTCTCCTCCTCCGATTTCCTTCGATTAAAGAACTGGGTTTTGCTCTACCAATGCAAATAGATGAAATGTTGCATAATTCAATCACACCCATCAATCGAAACTTGTTATTTCCTGCATTCAAAGTTCATTTCTTGAAAAACTTAACGCAAAATCAATAAATCATTACATATAGAGAGAGAGTAGAGAGAGAAACTGTATATAAAATATATATAGAGAGAGAGAAAGTAGAGAGAGAAACTGGTACAACTGGATTGCCGGCGGGAGAGGAACAAGTTTTGCAGGCAAAGGAGACTAGGAGAGTGATGGTCGACTTGCCTAAGGTGAAGTGCATTAGTAGCCATTTTTAGGGTTGTTATTTAAAACGTAACCAATATTCGCAAATGTATTTAAAATATAGCCACAATGTAAACAGAACGACCACATTTCTAGTATGGTAATTCAAGTTCTAATGTTTTGAATTGCTAACTCAGAGTGGTTTAAGGTGTGTGAGTGGCTAAAAGTATAAATATGTGAACTTTTGCAAATAGTAGTTAAGGTCGTTTGACAGTTGATTAGAGTTATGTCAATATTAAATATAATGAAATTTATGTACTTTTTTTATGCAAATATTAGTTATGCGGTATTTTGTTATTTCAATATTCTATCTTTATAAGATAATACACAAATTCATTCTTAACTTCTACATTTATTAACAAGAATTTTCAAATTCCAAACCAAACACAAGGAATTTTTAATTTTTTTCGTCACACAAGGATTTAATACATGCATAACTCAAGACGTTTAAATTGCCAAACACTAGCCTTTTTTAAGCGGGAATCTTCACTTTGTTTCACTATAATGTGATTTCGAGTATGTTTTATTTTCTTAAATATTTATGGTGTTTTTATTTGACTTTTTTTTTGTTCCCTTTTAGTATAAGATATTCGCATTGAAGCCTGACTAATATGAATTCGCACCACGTAAAACTCAATTCAAAAAGAAGCGCTCCCTATTAGGGATTTCTCCATACCCACATACTTTTTTTGTTATGTAGATGGAAGTTTGAGTGTCATCATCACTCCTGTTCATTTCATATTTCATACTACATAGAAAATAGGGATGTATTTTATCACTCCATTGGCAAATACATTTTTTTTTAGCTTTTATTGAGGATCAAAATATGAAACAAAAGTGATTTCAATTTGGTCATATGGATGTGTACAGCCAAACTTAAAAAAAAGGGCAGCCTGATTGAAGAAGTATCCCACGTTTACGATACGCAAGGTCCGGGGATGGGTCACACTCTCAAGTGGGTGTAACATAAGCAACCTACCACGATACAAGCATCAATAGTTCATTCCACGACTCGAATTCGTGACCAATAGGTCCCACGGAGATAACTTTACCATTTGTCCAAGATTTCCCGTCAAAAACAGACTGTACAAAAAAAAACTTGATACAATTTTTTTTAACATTTTAGGTTACTGCAACTGAAACTTGTCCACTCCAACTACATGAAGCAACAACATTCGACATGACAGGATGGAATACAACATCGATGCAAGCCTCATTGTATGCCTTAATCTTTCTGATGAGCTTACAAGTATTCGAGTCGTAAACATAAATGTATCCATCAGAGGAACCAGATATTACTTTCTCACCATCCAAGCTGAAATTGCATTTTATGGGGAATCCAGAAACACTATGGCCTCCATATCTCCTGTACTTGTCAAGTCCAAATGGAGGCTTGGTAGAGAAAATTGCTATGTAGTTTCCATTTGACTGTGCTATAAATTTGGGATCAGAAGGATGGCAACTTATCGAGGGACATGTATATGCTTCACCGTAAACCTGAAAATGTTCACGAAATTAGCCTTCTTTTACAGAAAACAGATAAGCATAATTTGGCAAATATGTGCTATGACGTATTCCTGAGTTTGTGAATGTGGATGATTGACGTGTGTGACATGACAAAAGATATCCTCACTTTCTTAATGGTCATGGATGTGCACAATTTCTCCTGAACTTAGACAAATGTGCAAATTAAGAATACAGAGACCATGTATTACGTAAGAGCAGAGAAAAAAAGAAGGGGACAGAAGAAGAGACCCTTGACTGAAAGATGAGAAGATTAGAAACTTCAAAGGGAGAGCCTGGAAAATGAAAAGAAGAAAAGAAAGGGGACAACAGGGAGAAGGACTATGACAATCAACTGGATAATAGTGAAGTTAGCAACATTTAGAGAATTGGAAATGTCATTCGACTTCTGCATTGACTCAGTACGTGGCAGATCATAGGAAGATGATGACTTTTCTTTCTTTTTTTCCTAATAGGCATGCATTTGCATAAACATTGATGAACACCTTCAGGCTTCAAACATTCTTGATTGAATGAACAATATCTACATTTCTAACAACACTCATGTAATGTGAAGGGAAATAACATCTTGACATTCACCTAATGACTACATAATTCATGACGTGAAAAAATCAGAAGCATGAGGAAACAAAACCAAAAGGCATTAATGAATAACTTTACCTGGTTAGATAGAGGGATTTCTCGTGAGACATCCCAAACCATAATTGAATTTTCACTAATATTGCTTTTGGATGTATCACTTGATGAAATTATTCGCTTTGCGTCAACTGTAAATTCAGCATCAAGGATAGGATCAGGATTTCGCACATATTGATGGACCACCTTCCCAGCTCTTATATCCCATATTTTAAGGTGACCTTTCGAACCTCCAGAGAGAAAGAGATTATAATTATCCGGATGAAATTTTACCACTCCAACAACTTGATCCTCATTGAAAACCTGGGTTTCAGTTCCTTTTTCAACATCAATCAACCTTGATGTGCAGTCATATCCACAAGAGAGCACAAATAGACCATATGGCGACCACTTCACATCTTTGACAGCCGCATGGTGACAATTAAGTACACGTGCTTTCTTCTGATCTCTGCTCCACACATTCCATATACAGACAGTTTGATCCATTCCGGCAGATGCTAGAAGGTGAGCTGCATGGAGAATAGCATACATGAATACAAGTATGCTATTGAATCAGCAAAGTATCACAAATCGGAAAATATACAGTAAACATTATAGAGTTCACAACTAAATGATTTCATGTAAGTAATCAAGCGAATCATTGACTCACATCATTGTAAAATAGTGAAAATTATTGTTCTTGGTTAACAAAGCATTCTTGGTATTTTAATACCTAAAGAGAGAGATTTTCTTCTTGGCTTTTGAAAAGGCTAAAATTGATTATTTTTTTCCTACGATAGCCCAGAACTTCTAAAATTTAGCCATTCAATTTTTCCACATTTTTTATATTTTCCAACAAAGTCTTGATTCTTTTTGAGTAATTAGTTCTTTTCCTTATTGTTTTGGTAAAGAACAAGAAAACTACATCTATCTGATCCTTCTTTCGATAAATTTGGAAAGAGTATTCACCTTTCTAGATATCACAAGTAAACATACAAAGTACACCAGGGCCCAAGCAAATATCTGGAGCAATTCATGTAACTAGATGATCCAGTCTCATCCTACTAAATGCATGAAGTGATGCAGTTTCACAGTGAAGTCTAATTTGTAGGGATTTGAAACCACAAGGGAGTTCTGAAACTATTTCAACATCAATGGTGGCAGGTAATCATCAGGACCCGGAGGCATCCATGCTAAAAAAAATATATGCCATTTTTGATAAATGTGATAATGATAAAAAGGATTTACACAAAATAAAAATCAATAGCAGTACTTTGGCAGGGTTTAACCACTCACCATGACTTGTAGACCACTGTACAGCATTAACTGATCTTTTGTGTCCATCTAGAACTACAGACAGTCTTTCTGGCGTGTGGATCATGTTCCCGTAGACTTTAGTTTGATCTCTCAAAGCTGACAAAATATTATGTGGCAGAACTGAATCCAAAATGCTCCCTAAAACTAAAGACAAAAAAACTCCAAATCATCAGTTGCAGATAATGCAGAAGATCGAGAGAAAAGGTGCCAACTATTGCACAAAATATTACTATAAATTTGAACAACAAGAAAAGTTGCCGAGAGGTTCCTAGTTGCTTTCATGTTAGTAACACTCTCCTTTGACACTCTGATGGGCAACAGTGACATCCTCTCAAAACCAAAGATCTTCTTCGCGAAGACATCAATTGCAATGAAAGCTGATGAGTTGCTTAACAAACTTCCTTCCCTAAGGTGAATATTTGCCAAACGTCAATAGCTGGGTCCAGTAATTTTTCTACTGAGACTCTTGATACTAAGGCAACTGTTTAGATAATGTTATATGAATTGAATTGCAAGAGAATAAAGGGAAAAAGTTCACTAAACATATGTGATGAGTGACCAGAATATAACCCCATAAATCTCACTTGCTTTTTCCAATCTGACCAGTATTTGAGTAGGTAAGGGGAATGCTCTGGAGTTTATTGAAGGATGACCGACTTCACAAGCCAAAAAGAGTAGGGAAGGGAATTTCTGTGGAGTTTATTGACTGAACTCACAAGCCAAACTAGCCATTTTTCCAAATGGTGCTAAATAATCATCTGCCATTGCACTGCTGAGTCACTTCTTACAAACTAGGTTTCGGCAAATCAACCACTGATTATAACTTATTGTTGTTAGAATGTTGGACAGATTCTTAATAGTTGTACATATCTATGTAATAGCTCTAAATATTTGTGTATTGATGGTGTCAATTGCTTTCCATATATAGGAGATATGAGGGATTAATGTAGCATATTTTTAGTGATATTATAATTAGGAATAGCAGATATTTAGGGGTGTGAATAGCAGAGTTTTAGGCATGTAAATCAGAATTATTTCTATTTAATAGAACTCACCATTTGAGAGAACTCATTCAACAAACTTGACATGGTATCAGAGCCAGGTCCATCCCTGTTTGGGCTCCCAATCCACGCTCCAGTCGGGCCTGGGCGTGAAGGGGGGGCGTAAGAGTGGGTAAAAGTCCCACATTGGTTGGGGAATGGACTAGTGGTCTCCTTATATGGACTTGGGCAATCCTCCCCTCATGAGCTAACTTTTGGGGTTGAGTTAGGCCCAGGTGTCATATAAGGAGACCACCCGTCCATTCCCCAACCAAATTGATTCGTCACTAATTACTAGCCTCCAACAACAGCTTAAGGATTCTTTTCATATGAAAGATCTTGGTACTCTTACATACTTTTTGGGGTTGGAAGTTCATTATGATTCTTCAGGTGTGTTCTTGAACCAGCACAAATATACTCAAGATTTGATTGTTTTGGCTGGTCTTCAAGAATCTTCCTGTGTAGATACTCCATTGGAATTGAATGTAAAGTATCGCCGTGCGGAAGGAGATCTTCTTCCTGATCCTACTTTGTATCGGCAATTAGTTGAGAGCCTAAATTATCTTACTATTACTCGACCTGATATCTCTTTTGTAGTTCAATAAGTGAGTCAATTTATGCAGGCTCCTCGCCATCTACATTTGGTGGTTGTTCGTCGCATTATTCGATATCTCTTGGGAACATCTACTCGTGGATTATTCTTTCCTAGTGGTTCTCCGATTCAGCTTAATGCATTCATTAATTCTGATTGGGGCGGATGTCCTGATACTCATCGTTCTTTCACGGGTTGGTGTATGCTTCTTGGAGATTCCTTGATATCTTGGAAGAGCAAGAAGCAAGACCGTGTTTCAAAATCTTCATCAGAATTTGAATATCGCGCAATGTCTACTGCTTGCTCAGAGATTGTTTGGCTTCGTGGTTTACTTGCAGAAATTGGATTTCCTCAAATCTAGTGCCACTCCTCTCCATGCTGACAACACAAGTGCCATTCAGATTGCTACCAATCCGGTTTATCATGAAAGGACCAAACACATAGAAGTGGATTGTCATTCTATCAAAGAAGCTGTAGATAAGAGAGTCATTACTCTTCCACATGTATCCAGTGATCTTTAAATAGCTGATGTGTTTACAAAATCTATGGCACGACAACGTCATCAGTTTTTGGTAGGCAAATTGATGCTTTTTGATTCATCGGCATCAATTTGAGGGGGGATGTTAGCATGTTGGACAGATTCTAAATAGTTGTACATATCTATGTAATAGCTCTAAATATTTGTGTATTGATGGTGTCAATTGCTTTCCATATATAGGGGATATGAGGGATTAATGTAGCATATTTTTAGTGATATTATAATTAGGAATAGCAGATATTTAGGGGTGTGAATAGCAGATTTTTAGGCATGTAAAACAGAATTCTTTCTATTTAATGGAAGAGCTCTCCATTTGAGAGAACTCATTCGGCAAACTTGACAATCGTGTTACGGATTCCTTCTTGATTTCCACTGACAGTAGCGTTCGGACAAGGGTAGTTACTCTTATTCTTAACAAACAGCTCCACTAACACAAGGTAGCAGCTAAGTGAAGGGATTAGTTATATCAAGTGGAGGACTGACCGTCTGTATTAGTTGTAAGCTTATACACAACAAACTTTTTTTTTGAACATCATATCCAAAACAAACTTTGGGTCATGAGTTTCTCACAATTTAAGCTGGTGACATGATAGTTAAGCATAACGCAATCAGCAATATAAAGGTGGCTGGTTAATTAGGTTTTCAGCTGTAATAAGCAACAATAAGTCAATACTTTTTTTTTTTTTTTTGATAACCGAGAAATCCGTCTATGACCCGCCCTTTGGACCAATGACCAATCACAGCCTTCTAAACTCGGTGGATAATGGGCCCGCCCCTCTACCCTTCTCCACTTAAATACCGGGCTTCGCAACAATAAGTCAATACTAACAACACAGAATTTCTGGAAGAGCCCATCTTCATTCAATAATGCATCAATCTGCCAAAAGAACATCAAAGATAGTCCTCTTTTTTCTTCCCCTCTTACATGATGCTGCTCTTCTCCACCAGGACCTCTTCAGTTCCCTAGTTCTTTGGATTAATAAAAGGGTTCTGATTATGCTTCTCATTAGTAATAAATGACTTATCCTTGCATAGAAAAATTGAAGGGGTCTTTTGTGGCAACAATTAAAATTTTTAGATTCATTGACTTCTTATTTACTATTTTTTAAAAATGAAAGTGGTATTACATCAATATGCAAGCACCTCAACAAATCCACAAGCCTGTTACATACAACACACAAGCACAGGTCCGGGGTAATCCTATTTACCATGGTCAGAGCAGATGCCCTCACACTTATTGTTGCAGCTGTAAATTAAGCACTAAACCATTCCCTTCGCGTCAAATTCACCCTCTTCAAAAGGAAAAGGATGACAAATTTCAGCCTTTTAGGCATAAATATTCTTCTAGTATTGTCCCAGTATTTGCAAATACTAGTTTGACAATGAGTATTTGAAAATATTGAACCTCACATGAAATATCGAAATATTGACATGAAGGTGTATGTAACAAGCTTTTTCTTTCCAAGTGAACTTCATGTCCAGAAATAACTCCAACTTCTACATTTTTTTCCACTTCAACTTCAAGTACACTTTTTTAAAGAAAACATCAACATAGATACTATCCAAAATGCCTAACTGTTGCAGCTGTGATTGGAACTTGGACCTCTAAAGGTGTGTTTGTTATGGAGGAAAACATTTTCCAACAAATGGTTTTAAATTTTTCCATGTTCGGTTGGTAAATCTTTTGGAAAACCTTTCTCTAGAAAAACAAGTTCCTTAAAGATGAAGAAAATGACTTCCCTAATGGCTGTAGAGAAAACAAGTTCTACAAGTGACATTCCACATTGATTGTATATTTGTATTCTCCCCACGGCCCACCCTCCAACACACTTCATTCTTCACCTTCACCCATAGCCCTAATCTCCACTCCCACCTCCTATAGTATTTGCCTAGATTATGTACAAATACTTTTTAATGCAACAATTTCCTTCATACCTAAAAAACATTTCCAATGGGAAATATTTTCCTTCATAACGAACACACTCCAATGTCATCAAAAACAAAAAGTGCAAAAAAAACTCTAAGATCTGTTGGGACTGTAAGTACAAAGCCACGCATGAAACAAGCCACAAAGGGAGAAACAATACAAATATATATATGTTTAGTCTCAGAGTAATAATTCTAAGCATGAATGAGAAATATATGAACAAAAAATTGAATCTTTTTTATGATAAAGCGAAATCTCAATTTATTGGCAAGGAAAGTATGCCTTTGGAATCTTGACCCTCTCCGGGGGTTAAGTGTGCGTTTGACAACAATGACACACCCTAAGTTGTTACTCGCTTTACTCCCATATCTCAACTACTAAATCCATCCCCTTTTGAAAAAAATCATCTTCTTTTAAACAAAAAGGGTATCATAAAACTTACAAAATTTCAACACCAACCAAACACAAAGCTCATAACAAGTTTCCATTTTAAGTGTAAAAAAAAAAGAGAGGGGCAAGGGAGCAGTTGCAAAACCTGGTGAACTGGTAGGGGAAATCGTTGTGCTGAGGTCTGGAACTTTCTCCACTGAAGCCATGGCAGCTCGCTCTCTCTTAGAAATGTATCTTCCTGGAAGGGAAGCTTGCGCTGGGAGATTGGCACTTGGATTAGACTTGTAGAGTGGCAAATGATTGCTAACTTGATGAAAATTCTCGAATTTGGCTCGTTTTGGAGGCGGCAAAATGGGTCTTTGAAGGTGAATTCCACCATTGTCGTCTTCTTCATCAGAGGTTCCGCCATAGACTTTACACAGAAGGTCCATTCAATCAAATTCGATCCCCCAATTCAACAAAAAATCAATAGAGCTAAAATTAGGGCAAAATTGAGACGAATTTCTTCAATTGTTCATCAAAACGTTTGAATATACAGTATATTATTCTTAAGGGATCTGATTGTAATAGTAGAAACTACTAATATTATTCTTAAGGGACTGAAATGTAAGAAAAAAAGACCTCTGGGGCCTGGATTCCTGATTTCAGTTATTATAGCTGCTAACAGCTATGTACTACCTTTCCAGAGGAATGTACAACTCATGTAAGTTTGGTCTTTACACTTTGTTTGGATGGTGATTATGCATTGTTTGATAATGTGTCGTATCGTACTGTATTATTTTGATAAATACAATGTTTGAAAGAATTGTATCGTTCCTATCATTACATGATGTCATACATCAACAATTTGAAGATTGTTTTGAGTCGAGTCTGTCGTATACGGTTTGTCTAGTGCGGCTTACATTTTCTATGTGGTTTGCAGGCTATTACACAGTGAGAGTTTACCTAGTGTGCACAAAGTGTTCCTCCGAAGGGCAGAGGTTGTGACATAAAGATTATAGCGGTTACAGGTTATCTTAGGGTTTTGAAAAAAAATAAAAAATTGAAGGACAAACCTAAAAAATATATAGGATATGAAACGAAATTATGGTAAAAGGTAGGATAACTGATAAGATATGATTATTAGTAAATAAAGACAAAATGATAAAAAAGAAGAAGAGAAGATAACGATACCATCACATCAATTAGTATTATATAAAATGAGACTTTTATCCTTACGTAATAATGAATATAATGATACGATATAGTAAAATATAAATAATAATCAAAATAAATATTGTATTTAAATTAACAACAGAATACAAATCATCATATTAAGGGAACTTAATTGTAATATTAGAAACTACTAATATTATTCTTAAGGGACTGAAATATAAATATAGAAGACTTCTGGGGGGAGAGTTTCTGCTTTCAGTTATTACTTATGCTAACAACTAAGTACCATGTTTCCAGCTGAATGTACAACTCATTCTAGTTTGGTTAATTCACCCCAATTCTGTGGATGTTCATTAGTACTCCTACAAACTCCAAAAAAACCTTGTAATAACTTTTTGAGATATCAAATAACTCAAGAAGACAGCTTGCAAATAACTTTCTAACACATAATAATCATGCATAACGATCCGCAATAAACATGCCAAGTGTCACATGACAGTTATGTGTGATTGATAAAGTGACACATTCATGTTGTTGAACTTACAACACGAAACATGTCACGTCCAAATTCCTCCACTCTTTTTTTCATCTTTATATACACCTCGTTCTGACTTTATCATTTGTATGAACCAAGTACAACTCATTAATTTGATGGTTTGTAGTTCTCTATACTGTCATATCAAAAGATCAAATATTCCAAGTAACCATGACATAATCACTTCTCGAGAATCACTTGATAGTAAAATTATAATTATCATATCACTAACCTCAATAGTACGGAGTATTTCTACTATTAGGGGTAGTTTGGTTCAAAGACAAAGTTATACATAAATTATAGTGCAAGGATTAGTATTATGAGAATTCGTAATACATGGGGATGCCATATAACTATGACGTAGATATTATATGTTAAGAAGAGAAACAACAACATACTTAGTATAATCTCACAAGTGGAGGCAGAGGAAAATAGAGTGTACACAAACTCTACCTCTACGTTCTCACGTAGAAAGGTTGTTACCAAAAGACTCTCAACTCAAAGAAAGTAAAAACACAACATTTATGGAGACATAAACAATTGCAGGACAATAAATATGCTGTTGTCTGCAGAAGGGGGTAATTGCCATCAAATGGAGACAATATAAAAAATTGTGTCTGCACAATGAAATAGTAGTAATTAATAAAGAATACAAGTGTTTCTTCAACTTTGTACTATATCTACCTATGTATTGCTAACTATCAACATTGAGGAGCTACAATGTTCTGGTCTACTTGTAAATCCATTCATTTGCACGGCCTCCGGATTCATCCATATCGATGAAAATGCTCACTGCCTGCGTTATATAACAAGAGAGAACACGATCAAAAGCATAGTGAGACAAACTTTCGGTTTGGACTGGCAGAATAATTCACAAGAGTGACATGATATTTGTCATTATAAGTTCATAACAACCTCTGGAATGCAAAATTTGATATATCTACGTGCTTCATAAACATCACAACTGATAATATCTGAGATTCTTATAAGCTTAGGATAGAGGTTTATGCAGAGCCTTCATAGGACTAGGAAGCAGTGATAACACTACACTTTTATTGTTAGTATCCTACATATGGTATCAGAGACGGAACTAGAATTAGAATTATGGGTTTGTATTCGGAATTCTATCAACATTCCATCTAATTCACTGGTTAAAATCTATTATTTTGTACTACTTAGTGGGTTTTTAACCACATACATGGTCTAAGCCAAAGCTATTGGGTTCTGATGGACCCGTAGCTTATACAATAGGTTCACCCCTGTATGATATGCATTGGATAACAGGGTCATAGTGTACGGAAAATGCGATGAGGCAACCCTCACCCCCACCCCACCCCCACAAACCCTTTCCCACAATCCCCCAAAAGAAAGAAATAAAAGATTATAACTGATCTGTCTATAAAGCATAACTAATACTAACCAAAAAGTGATGAAGGTAATGAGATTAATATAATCAAACGTTTTGAGTAGATCAGGTAGAAGATATCATCAAGTATCAGCTAGAACTAATTTACCTTCCCTATCCGAGGCCGCTCTTTCAACTTCTCAAGGCTATTACGAATATGCGAAACAGCTCCCCAACATTTCAATGTGTTTGCCACATCATCTAGCCTCAGTAGGTACTCTTCTTCAGTTAACGGAAAAGATCGCTTTAAAACAAATCATCAAGGCACATTAGACGGAAATCACAGTAATTTTTTAAAATTCTAAACTGAATTTCAACACATTCTAACAGTTACAATTTGTGATTTTGTGTTTTAACAGATCCCAAAGGACTTTGATATCATTTTCCAGAAAAGAGGGGGGAAAAGGTCACTCGAACATACTAAGTTGTTTCTTTCAACTTATCAGGGCAAGTAATAAAACTCATTTCTAACGCCAAAAGTTCAGTTTATTTCTAAGTCAGATGTTCGTTTTATTTGATCAATACACAATGTTGGATATCACAGACCAAGTCACCTCAACTATTCGAGATAGCTGCAGGAGAGCAGTAGTTAGCATGCTGTCTCGAGAAAATTAATATTAGCATCTCGTCTAGTGTATCAGCAGAATTTAGTTAAGCTAAATTAAGTTCATCTCTCGGTCTTTGGTTAATGTTAAATGTTCAATATCATTCCAAGTAATCACCTTTAACTTATATCTCTTTCTGAATTGTAAGATATATTCATCTTCTTAAACACTTGGGGACAAGGTTTAGAAAGGAAAGTGCAGCAGCATCACATCTGACATCATGCTTCTGGTATGCTCCGTCAAAAAGCCCAACTCCAATCATGATGAGAAAGCAAGATGAAAACAAAAGTAGGGAAGGACAAACTGAAACTTTGTTGGTGCTATTTGGTTTGTTTCATATAGAGTGAAGAGTCAAACACACACCTAAAATATCCAAGTTTTTCGAGTTTCATACCTGAACTATCAAGTGGACGAGTTTCCTACCTGAACTATCACCAACTATTTATCAAAACATACCTCAACTATCAATTATTACCTTTGTGTACCTAAACGATGGTGATATTTCAGGTAGGAAAGGGGAACATCGAATAGTTGAGGTGTATTTATATAAATAGTTGGTGATAGTTCAAGTAGGAAGCTCGCTCACCTAATAGTTCAGGTGTAAAACTCGAAAAACTGAGATACTTGTAGGTGTGTTTTTGACTATTAACTCTTTGAAACAAGATCTTAAGTATCTGAAGAATAAGGAAATCCAGCCACGGCTTTCAAAGATGAGAGAATACTGAAGTGCGTTCTTCAGAGTGCTGACATCTCCCAAGTGGAAAGTATAAGAGAAACAAACTATGGTTCTTCACATACTGAACTTATGTTTGAGAACTATGTATCACACTGGGGAACATTTTAAAATATTCGTCCAATCAAATGGTAGTAATAGTTTAATGACAACAATCGATCTCATTACGAATGCTAAAGAGATCAGCTCACCTGCTCCCTGTATTTCCACATAACATTTAACGCAAGAAGATTTTTCCCCATGAATTCCTACATAAAGAGGATATAGAGATACAAGTCAAGCATCTAAACGATGTTTATATATCCAACTGCCAAAAGGAAAACTTGCAACATCAATTGGAATAGTCAATTGTTTGAACGATTTTTTTCATGTCAGCTTGATTGGTTAAGTTGATCTAAAAGAGCATACAAAAAAATAATAATCAAGAAATGGTCATTTGAGTAACAGGTTTTAAAGTGGATACAGAAAACTCAAAACCTTATCAAAAGAACTTTATTTTGAAGCACTTTAAATGAGATTTTAAGCCGATTTCATTTATTAATAGCATTACACCAACCAATAGATTTTTGAAAATTGAAGTTTTGGAGAAGTTGCATGTATCTCTACGGTCAATCAAATACATACTCCCTCCATTTTAATTTGTTTGTCTGGTTTTGACTTGGTCACGGAGTTTAAGAAAGAAAGGAAACCTTTCAATCTTGTAGTCTTAACTAAAGGTATGTAGAATGTAGCAAAATGTCTTTTAATCTCGTGGTCTTAAAAAGCCACATGGAAAGTTGGAATTAAAGAATTGTCAAAAGGGAAAGACACGTCCTTTTTTGAACGGACTAATAAGGAAAGTAAGACAAACAAATTGAAATAGAGGGGGTGTTATAAATACATCCGAAATAATGATTAAAGAATAAGGAAATCAAGTACCTTCTTAATCAATTGAACATCATAGGACCTTCCATATTTATTCCTTATCAGAGCTGCAAGGTCTATTCCACTAAATGCAGAGTCATCCCGCCCGACGATTCTTTCAAGATTACCCCTTAAAATTTCACTATTTACCTGAAAACTAAAAGTTAGGATGCCTGTTCGACATTTAGACAATCAAAGATGTGCATAGCCTCGAAACCATGCAATCGCAC